AACGTTCTTTTAAGAAAACAAAAATTTTCTAATAATTTTTGGAATATCAGCTTTCTTATGGACGGGTCCGGCTGCACGTCTTACGCTCTCTTCTGCGTGTCTTACGCTACTCCAACGCCCAAGGCAAAGCAACACTAATATCCAAAGATTATTATAAAATGTTGTTTTTTTATAAAACGCGTTCATCTCTAGTACGCATTCATTAACATAAATAGCATAACTCATTATTTCCCTATGAACATAAATCATGGATCATTTGTTATAAAGTATATCAAATGGGTACAAAAAAGTATAGACTCTGAATTCGACACAATAAAATATCATTCAAGGTACAAAAAAGTATAGACTCTGAATTCGACACAATAAAATATCATTCAAGTAAATTAATAATTTGTTAAAATGTCTCAACCAATGGTTAATATGCAATATCTTTTCAAAGAATTTTATGCTGATCATAATAAACAAAAACGAGAATATTATTATAATTTTGTCAATGATTCAAGTAAAGAACTTAGACATCAATTAGCTTGGAGAARATATATTGATGATAATAATGTTCATATAACCTTCTTTGAATGGTATGAAATGTATTGTAAACAAGAGAAAATACATAATCCTTTTCTTTTGATCAATAATTCCCCAAAAATTACTCAAAATTATAAAACTATAAAAGAAAAAACAATTATTACAAGTATTCATCCACCAAAAACATCTATATTAGTTCAAGATAAATATATAGCGACCCCCTTAATAAATATTACAGAAGACACATCTAAAGATGAAATAATTAAGAACGTTGCTTATCAAAATAATTATTCAAATGAGATACTTAGTACTATAAGTCAACAACTTAGTAGAGTTGAAAATAATCAAAATCATTTGAAATTAAACACAGATTAGTGATATAATATTGAAATAGCAAGCATAATGATCAAAAGATACCTTTATTGATTAAGCAATCTTGAATACAATCGTGGCTGAGACACTTTGAACATACATCAGGAGCTATGATAAGGTTGAAATCTAAAGACTTGGAACATTGAGAAGTTGAGAATACAAAAGAGGATTTTTTGTTTGACATAACATTCTAAACTCTAAGAAGATATGAAAGACTCAGAAATTTTTTCGATGTCTTTGTTGAAGAGCTTCGATGGGTTTTTATACTTGAATYCGTTGAGTAGATAACCGGCATCTTCCAGTTGCCTTCATAATAATGCAATTTGAAACCGGCATCTGTCCTTGAAGTAAAATAATTGAATCAATCGTCTGAAGGATTCGTCCTTTTTTTGTCGTTGTTGTGATGAATCGGTCTTGATTAAAATGAATCCGACATATCGAATCCTTTCGTCTTGACTAAAACAATTCTGACATTTTAAACCTTTCTTGTTAATCTTAAGAGATGCTAGGCATACAAATTTCAAAAATTCAATATTAGCAATAGCTGAAACTAATATTTCTAATGGTCCAATTTACTTTAATTGTTATCCCAATTTTTCAGTAGGATTATTTGATCCAAATATTTTAGATACTTTAGTTTTAACAATTAAGACAAAAAATTTAGAATTTTCAGGAA